GGAGGGCAAGGGTATAAGGGATGAGAGGGAGGGGGAGAGGGGTCGCGGCGATCACAACACTGTGACTGATCCCGTTGGCGGTGGCGGCGGCTCATTCATAATGTGGTCGCGCACGGTGTCAAATGAATTATAAACGATGTATCGTCGCCATAAATAATGCATGTATACGCTTACAAATTTACGGCAGCGCCCGGCCGCCTCAATCGGAGGACTCCCGACGCGTCAGTCGTCCTGTTCAAGAACCGCGTACCTTCGCGGGGAAACCGTGAGCGGATGCGCGATTTTTGCTCCGTCGGGGGATGCTCGTCGGTGAACGACCGTGCAGTTGGGGCTGAGATCTTTGTAAAGGTCCAAGAGTGNTCAATCGGAGGACTCCCGACGCGTCAGCCGTCCTGTTCAAGAACCGCGTACCTTCGCGGGGAAACCGTGAGCGGATGCGCGATTTTTGCTCCGTCGGGGGATGCTCGTCGGTGAACGACCGTGCAGTTGGGACTGAGATCTTTGTGAGTGTCCAAGAGTGACCGGACTTTGATTTTTATGTCATTTTTAACCCCCACCTCCTCTCTGGAAAGTAGCTGAGACAATTACCGAGTAGCATTTTTCAACGGAAATTTCGAGATATTTTGAAATTAACTTGTGATTTTTTAAAGATTTGTTGGCGCTAAAATCGCCAGGATCATCAACATCTGAGCGATTATGCTCGATCTTTTCGCAATTTTAACTTCATAAAATCGCGTTCGATAAAGTCGAAATTTTATCACAATTGATCACGATTTTTTGTTCGATAATATTGCGATACATCGCCGTCGATAAAATCGCGATTTCATCGCGAGCTTATGTGATAGAGCATAAGTGCAGTTTTTGAAGAAAATGAGATTTTAATGTTTCCAAGTAAAACTACTCTTAATGCATATTTTGAGCAAACTTCGCTCCCAAATTCATATTTTTGATGTAGAAAAGTCAGTTTGAAATTTCTTTTCGCCGTAAGGATCCACGTGATTCCGGAACGTCAAACGCGTATTTTTCGAAACAGCAAAAACTGCACTCATGCGAGCCTGCTCCAAGCCCCTCGATTTAAGTAAGCACTTATAAAGAATTGAGCATTTCCCTTACTTTGGATAGAGGCCTGTAATTGGTGTAAACTGTATCATTAACATAAGCTGGCTGCATAAGACTTTGGTCGGGCCCTTCATCCCTGATCATCGGTAAGTCGAGGGGAGGGGGCGGGTGGGAGGTGCCGGCTCTAGAGTTGAGAAGCCTACACCCCGCAGCTTTTTGCCGACCGTTCTGTTTATTGTAAGCAGGGTAAATATTTGCCCGAACAGCTATTGAAATCCAGTAATGAAATCTATCTCCAAGAATTACCCTCTTTTAAACTTTGTTCTCGGCCGAAAGATTTGTTCGCCAGGCCTAAATCAACCCCCACGTCGCCCCCTCATCCCTCCAGCGGAGGCCGTATCGACAGCGAAAAACACGTATCACGATGTGCGATGTTGCAATTTTATTAAACTCACGGTGCAATTCTGCCGTGCTAAGGAAGAACGCCGTATAAACCGTTAGGCGTTGCTAAGTTTTCTTGAAAAAATAAGAGTTTATTCGGAGAGTTGTGAGTATTTTTCTTCCATTTTTTCAGACAATTTTGTTTGCAATTTAATCTAAAATATCTGAAAATTTGAAGGAAATACATGCATAACGTTCCTTAAAAACACATTTTTTATCCGGAGAAATTGTGCAACTCTCGAATGTTCTTTACGGCGTTCTTCCTTAGCACGCGGCAAAATTGGCGGAGGGGCGTCGTGGTGGCATTTTGCGTTTTCTGCTGGAAAATTGGACTGGATTTTGCAATAAGGAACCAATATTTCTGGCTCATTTTAGAAACAACGCATGCACGATCAGCATCCCTATGCAGAGAGGCCCTTTGAAAGTTGAGCTACAAATGGATTACATTTTGCAATGAGGAACCATTATTTCTGGCCATTTTCGAAACAACATACATGTCATTAGTTTCCCTATGCAGATATGTGCTTTTATGGGAGAGCCAGAGATAGTGGTTCCTTTATTGCAAAATTTAATCCAAATAATAGTTCCTAA